CCACCCACCACCACCACCACCCTGAAATAATTGAGAGTTGACTGCAGTTACTTACAGGCTCTGGATCAAATCCTATCTGTGCAGCTAACTCCGCTACCTCCTTTTCATGGTAATCATCCAGTTCAAGGGGGTTCATGGGCCCCAGACCTTAAGGAAACATCATGTCTTATCATTTTGTTAAACAAAGAATGGCAGGTAAATGATCTTTTAGAGAAAAGCTTACTCGTTCCCCCATTATAGTAAAATTAGAACCATTAAAATGAAAACCAACTTTAACTTCCAGTTACCCGCTAAGAGAAACTTAACACCCACCTTAATTTTGATTAGTACTTAGATAAGGAACATGGAAAAATATTAGAAAATGAAAGCTTGTAACGGCATTTGTTAAATGTCTAATTTTGTTCTTTTTGCTTGTATTAAAGTGAACTCGTACCTGTAAAATCATGAGTGTATGATGTGAGCCAGTGGGATCTCTCAAGATTTCTTTGTATGTTGGCTTCTTTTAAAGAGCTCACAGGATCCCATGAATTTAAAGAAGTGTTAGGAGCGAAGGTTTTAGGAGGTTTTGGGTAGAATACTGGCTTGTTTTTCTCAGCACACTTAGGAAACTAGAATATGAACATAAAAGATTATTTCTCTTAATATCATCTCATAGAATAAAGACTGATCATTCATTATCTCACCAGGAATGGGGGCAAAGGAAATTCCAGGCTGAAGTCAGATCCTATTTTTTTATTCATTCATTACTAATATTCTGAGATTTTATTCATTTTATACTAATGAAGACAAGCACAATGTTTTATCAAAGGCATGGTGAGGTCTTTTCTAAAAGTCTTACTTTCACAGGTACTATGGCAATGTCCATTGGAGAACTGTTCCTGGAAGTCCTCTACTTACCGTGAAATTTTATTAGACATAAAGTTCTCTGAGGTGCTCCACTGCCTAAGTTTAGTCAAAATTGTGTGCCTTCCCTTTCGCCTTACCTGCCGAAAGTGACACTATTTGATATCTTTTATGAATTTCTGATGAAAGTTAAGTCACTCAAATTCAAATACGATTTTTTGTTCTGTAGACTTACCTACTTACTCTGGAGTTTCAGTTTGTCTTTTCAAAAGAGGTAAAAGTGAATGAATGAGTTGCGTTGCAGTCTTTGTGGTTCCTTAGAAATTCACGTTTTCTCAGATTGAGCATACTCAATGAATTATTTACTGAACACTATGTGTGTAAGATAGTGGCAAGGCTAGATCAGAAACACATCTTGCCATCCAGAAGTGTATTGGCTAGAAGGGGAGATGAGGAGTGAACACAAATGACTCCTATCAGATGAAAAGTCACTCTTTGTTATAACAGAGATCAAGACAAAATTATTTGAAGTTCACAGGAGGGAGAGATTGATGCTCGCTGAATAGGGGGTGGGGCTGAGAGAAGAGAGGCAAGGAGGAGATAAGAGGCCGTGTTCTTTCACACCGCAGAAAGTCAGCCTTCAGTGACATGCAGAGATGGGGAGGCCAAAGGAACAGCGAGAGCAGATATGGACGGTGCTGAAAGTATGGAATTAACATTTTTTGAACACTGTGCGCTGGTTGCCATCCCAGCCAGGCCCGCCCTTAACATTTGCAGGTCCTAGGGCTGGAGTACAAGTGGGAGCCCACATTCCATTCGTCTAAATAGTTTAATTGATAAATCAAGCAAATAAACTGTTAAATAAATAAAATATGTCCCATTCTCCTACCTTGACAAAATACCTCCATAACAACCTGAAGTCCAGGTTCAAATTTCGACTTCTCAGACTGTGCCCTGGGACACAGTGGTTTAGAAAGAGCCCCCGCTGACGCCTGGCCTCGGCATTCCTTCTCCTACCCCCCGTTTCATTACGAACTGTGACGTGCCTGGAACACATGAGGGTATCCTAGTCCTCAAGTTCAAGTTCCATCTACCATTTCTCTCCGCTTCCAGCACCTAGCCACCTTTTGGCCACCCCTTTGGCCTTGAGGTAATACTAGCTGGGCAGCACTGTCAAGCCCTGGGAGGATGGGCCTGAGGGGAGACCCCGTGAAGGCCCTAGAACTGGGTTCAAAGCCGTTTTGTCAGAGAATTCTGCAGTCCAGCATCTGGCTGGGGTTGGGCGAGTAGGGAGCATGGGCTACATAGACATACCCTTTTGCTCCCCCCCCCCCACAAACTCCCTGCCTCAGGGAGGGGCACAGCCTCTAAAGAATGGGGCCCTCCAAGTTCCTGAGCCCAAGGGCGATGCCGCTCACAGCAGCCTTGTGCGGTTGGAGTGCTGGCTGTTTACGTAGAGTCATCATAGTCAAAGGCACTTGGTAAAAACCTGTCTCAAGAAGTATGACATAACCACACCTATAAATCTAACAGATATGTGGCTTGCTTATTCAAGGTTAGACACAGCCCGCTTTGTGCTTATCTTTTGTCAGATTTGCAAGTCAGCTTACTTAAAAATACGAAGGACTTTTGAAAAATATTGTTCTGAGGGACCAGATTAATCTTGTGTCTTAACTTGGGCTTAAACTAACAGTAGCGATTACTGAAATGCAATCAGGCACCAAGGAAGGAAATAGGGAATGTGAAATTTTTCTGTAGCCTGTGGTGCCTTGGGAAGAGCTTTAAAGAGTCAGGAAATACCTGTATGTTCAGGTCATGTTATTCTGAGAGCATTGTGGAGAGGGGCTGGTGGCGATCATTCACTCGGTAGGTGTTCGTTGGTTAAAATATACTGTTCACAGGGTCAAGTATACATCTCATGTGACAAGTAAATACAAGACAGGACGAGTGAGCACGTTTTAGGCAGGCAGAGAGGCCATGAAGGAAGGGCATTCCAGGGATGGGACATGGCCATGAACCTGTTAGGAGACTAGCGGGTGGAGCCAGACTGTACGAAGGGAGAAAGGCCAGATCCCGAAGGGTCTTCGTAGCTCAGCTAAAGCATTGGGATTTACACTTAGGTACAAGGGGAGCCCATCAAGGCTGTTGCAAAGAGGTGTGACATGAGGAAAGCAGCATTTTAATGAGCTGGGAAAAACGAGGGAAATTGAAAGAAGAAACTAAACTACAGAGCTGGAGACTTCGGCCATAAGAACATGTAATGATGGAATGGTCTAGAATAAATTCTCATTTTTCTGGGTTGCTTAGATACAGATTTTGCTTGAAAGAATGAAAGGGATCCAGTAAAACAGATGATTCTTTAAGGATTTTTCTTGATGTGTAACTTTACAAAAAACAAACAGGGAATTGCTTACTTCATAGATGACTGGGACATTGCAGTGACCCCACTCTGACCTGTCACAGTCATCTTTCCAAGTAAAATTCAAATGTTTCCAGCCTTTCATAATTATTTGTTGCCTAACTAATGGGTTGTTCGGTGCAAGGAAATAACATGGAAGACACTTGACATTGCGTCTCAGAAGCTCACTGGCCAGTGGATATTAGCTATTACTATTTTCAAATTTCTAGATATTTCCCTTTATTACTTAAACTTTTTCCCTGTTTATCCATGTGGAGTCCTGGTCTAGAGGTTAAGAGCAGAGACTGGAGTCTCATAAGCCTGACTTCTGTGATCATGAGATAATCACGAACTCTCTGAGCCTCTGTTTCCTCATCTATAAAATGGGGATGATGATATTAACCGTATGAGCCTACTGTGGGGGCTAAACGACATGCTGTACAGTGGTTAGTGTGTAGCGATTTCTCAACAAACACTGGCTATTGTTTTATTTTTGATTCTACATAAATGTAACAGCTGGAACAATAAGTTGCAAGCGTTTCTGAAAATCTCCCATTTGCTCAATGCATATTTGGAGTTACTTCATATATTAGGAGTTATAAGAGTAAAATTGGGGGACATATAGTGAGGGAAATTCAGGCCACCTTCACCTTCTTTTGGGAAGAACCTGTTTTCCTGTAACATCCTTGGAAATGTTATGTAACTGCCCAGAGTATCTGAAAATCAGCTAAGGAAACAAACAAAAAAAAAATGTGAATCCTGGTCAAAATCTCAAAATTTTCACTTAGACAGAAAATAAAAACAACCCCTCTTTTGGATTTTTATAAATGTATAGAGTTAAAAACATTTTTTTAACTTTGTTTTAAACACATATTTAGAAAGATACTTACATCATAATATACACCCTGACCTGGCCAAGTCAAGGCATTCTTCTTTGAATCCGAGGGAAAATCAAGCAGTTCGAATCTGTAAGGATTACCTGAAATTTCCAGGAAAAGCACTGTTATCCTGAATATATTAATTCAAGAACAGTCTCCTAATTAATGGGATGTATGGGTGCATATGCAGGATATGTGTTTTGGCGATGTCGTTACAGTTTGACTTCTTGCCCCCCTTAATGAGCAGCCTGTGGGCCACACAGAGTGAGAATGACTAACCAGAGTGCTCTCAGCAGTTGGAGGAGGAACTAGCACTTCATCTTCCTTGTTAATCAGAGGAAGCCTTAGGGGAATTAGAAATCTTCCTGGATCCTCTTTCTGGTTTCTGAAGGCTCAGTGAATATATTTCTAAACTGCCTATTTTGGCTCTTCCCTGCCTAAATGTCAAGAAATGGAGTTAGTGCTTGCTTACCAAAAAGGTATTGAAAGAACATCTTAAAGAATACAGCTTCTTTGGTATCGGTGGTACAGTAGTCCCCCCTTATTCGCAGGGGATACGTTCCAAGGCCCATAGTCGATATCTGGAACTTAGGATAGCACTGAACCCTATGTATACTGTTTTTTGTTTTTGTTTTTGTTTTCAATCCGATAACTTACGAGGTGACCTACAGGTGGGTAGCACAGACAGCATGGATATGCAGGACAAAGGGATGGCTTCTATATGTCAGGGTGGGGCGGAGTGAGATGTTGGGAGATTTCATCATGCAACTCAGAGTGGCATGCAATTTAAAACTTATGAATTGTTTATTTCTGGAATTTTCCATTTCATATTTTTGGACTGTGGTGTGACTGCAAAATCGTGGATTAGGGGGCCACTACCATGGTTTGATGAATTCTGCATTAAAGAATGCCCTGAACACCCATCCCCATATGTAATAAGAACAAAGGCTGGCATTTATTAAACATTTACTATGTGCAGTACTGTACTGATTTATATATCATCAAATGCATTTTCCATAACATCAATATGAAGAAGGTACTGTTATTTCCACTTTAACATGTGAGGAAACTGAGGCACATAGAAAATAAGCAGTTTGCCCAAGATCGCAAGCAAGTGGAATAATTGAAACTCGGGTAATTTGGTTCTAGAGCCTGCACTTTTAACCTGTATGCCCCTCATTTGTAATAAAGAAGAGTTAAAATAAGTGAAAGAGCTGAAAACCTAATGCAGCACTAGTTCTTGGAATGGTCTTTTATACGTGTTATTAGAGTATTCTCATTTTTTTAAAATCCCCCAAGAGTGACTAACTGACCTGGGACTGGTAATGCTTGGAAGAGCAGAAAATCATCGGGGTAACTTATTTCTCCAGTCTCTGACCCTACGACTGCCCTGAAAAGTGTTTTTATAAATTTCAACACACATTTCTGCGATTTCTTGTTAACTGTGTGCACTTCGTGTAATTTCAGAAATGATCTAATGCAGGGATTGAAAAAGATAAATTTACTTAGACAATTTACCCAGTAAGATCATAAAACTTTTAAGAGCTTCGGTAGCCTATCCTGTAGCTCTTTTGCACAGTGCCCGGCTCCCCAGCTCCCCCAGTGTAACAAGGCACAGCACGCCATGTTAAATGATATGTACACATGTGTGTATGTGCACTATCTATAGATACATATATCTGATACAGTTTCACTGCCTTTTATCAGTGCTGACTGGACTGAGAGGTAATAGAAAAGTTCAGCATGCTGCACACATACTGGAATCATGAGTAGTAAAAATAATAACTGCTAACACCTACCCCTGCTACCTGTGAAGTACGTACTAATATTCCCATTTTATAGACAGGGAAGTGGAGGCAGAGAAGTGATGACACTTGCCTATGGTCCATGATGAGGCAGTGGCAGAGCTGGTTTCTACCGGTGCAGTCGGACTCCATAGTCCGTGCTCTTCAACATTCCACTATAATCTCTCTTAAAACGTTACTGTCTCCTAATGAGGGACTGGCATCGACATTGATGATGGCAGTACCCTGTTCTTACACTTGGGTCCAATTATTTATGGACAGAGGACCTGCGTTATAGGGCAGTTCTTGGGTCTTACCTCGCAGCCCGAATTCATCCAACAAATATTTATTTCTGCCTCCCATGTACTTTTTCTATCGCCTTCAGTTACCCTCAGACTTTCTCCATAGGATTCTTCTCTGTTTTGCGATGTCTAGCGTGGGAGACACCTGATGTCTAGTGTAGGGGCTCACCACCCTCTGTAGTAAAACACGCCGGGGAAGACCGCAGTGTTCACATCTATGAGAAAATGTTCCACCGTGGCAGGAGGAACCGAACAAACTGCCCGCACTGCTTTCTGAGTCCTATTTCAGTGCAGATCTTTCACTTCCATCACAGCTGCTACATCCACGTCCAGACTCTGTGCTCTGCACCAGCCAGTGTCCCCTGTGCTGATCGATCACCTGAGCTAGGGTGGAGTTTTTAAAAGCTAAGCCATAGGAGCGAGCAGGAAGGAAATAAAAACGGAAAATACAAGTAGAATAAAAACAGCCCAATTCTACAATGTTTGGTTTCTCACCAAACATTGAACAGCGTCTGCAGAGAACCTGGTTTCATTGGTCGGTGGTGAAGTCCCCGCTGATGGTAAAGTGCAGCCACAGTTGAGAACAACGTTCCTAACCTGATGGGTCACACTTTTATGACGTGGGTCCTTTGCCCTATTTCCTTTAACTTTATTATTCAATAAACTACAGATATAAGAAGCATTAATACTGTTCTGGTTTCAAATCATATCTTACCTCTTGTCTTCAGAACGGTGGTGTCATAAGCCTTCGTTGGCACAGTGGGAGGAAACGGCTGCTGGCTGCGGGCTTTAATGCCGGTGTAGTGGTCCTTAGGTGATGTGAAGGCCGGGAACATGGCACCGCGGGAGATGTGTGTGTGGTAGGGGTGTTCAATCGGATATGGGGAGCAGATCTTGCTGAGATGTAGTTGAACAAACAGAACAGAACAGAAGAGAAAGATGTGCAATTTAAAAAAATAATCCACCCACATGGAATGGGAACCCTTCTTGTGGGAGGAAATGCTCTAAACCCTTGGGCAAGGACAATGAAGCCGAGGCCCTATACTCACAGAGTTAAAAACATATGACATTTTCTTAATTTTGCTAGACAAATCAAGCATAGATGTAATTTGCTAAGAATCTCAAGCTGCTGGGTATTTCAGCGAGCCCACCAAGTGCCAAGGCTGCTGGATTGAGTACAGATTTGCATGAGCAGCTGAGTAAGGGGAGGGGCCTGAACCTGGGGCTGGGGCTGCACCCCTACCCCCTACCCCACTGCAGCTTGTTATCTACTGAATTCTTTATCAGTGAATAATTTTCCCAACTGATACAAAAATATGAAACAGAAGATATGTGAATTTTGCAGTTTTTAGAATTTCTAGTTGCTTTCAATTCCTGCCGTTTGTTTTAAGAGGATCCCAGCACTGGAATCATTTTTGGGTTTTCAGCTTCAATACGTAAAGTGATCTCTAATCATCTCAGATTGAACTTTCAACCCAGTCCCTCTGTTTCTTTAAGCAATCAGTCAACAAAATATACTGCCTGTTTGTGAACTTAGTACTGTTTAGAAATCAAAAAGCCAAAACTAGCTAGTACACTGAGAGAAAATAAACCCAACGAGTGAAAAATACCACAGGGATGTACTTTTCCTATCACTTGAAGAACTAGCAGAGGTTTAAAAACTGTGAGAGCTATCTAAATTAGAAGAAAATAGGCATTAGGATGCACATGGAATAGAAAAATGCTATATATAATTGGAAAATAGTGTAAGGAAAGGCAAGACCAGTGTTAGTGGTTGAATTGTACCCCCTCAAAATTTGTTGGTTGAAGTCCTAACACACAATACCTTAGAATGTGACCTTCCTGGAAACACCTTCTTGGTCATTGGAGATGGAGTTAGTTAAGATGAGGTCACACTGCAGTAAGGCGGGCCCTACTCCCATATGATTGGTGTCCTTATAAAAAAAAGGGAAATTCGAACACAGACATGCACACAGGGACAATGCCACGTGAACGTGAAGGCAGATCAGGGTGACACATGTTCAAGCCAAGGAACATCGGAGATGGCCATCAAACTGCTAGGAGTCAGGAGAGGCAGGAAACCAACTCTCTCACAGCTCTCAGAAGGAACCAGCTATGCTGAAACCTTGATCTCAGATTTCTGGTCTCCTCAACTGAGAGACAGTAAATGTCTGTTTTGTTTCCCAGAAGATATTATAATCAGGGAGGACTCAGATCTCCAATAGAGCACATGTGAGCAGTGGAAAGTGAACAGGTGCCCACAGCATGGGTGCTCTGGGTTCTTACAGGAGAACAGCTAAAGAAAGAGCTGGAAAGGTTAACTGCATTTCTGGTGCTGACATTTATAACCCACAGCAGCTTTGAGAAAGCTGTTTAATGTTCTATTTACCAGGTCAAAATAAATGTACAGGTTATGCCATGAATGTTGGTGTGAGAGTCTTGTAGCAGAATTTTTCCTTTCACTATTTTCTCAGTATCAGCAGAATTTATTTAATGGCTTCTGCAAGTCACTATGAATGGTGTGACCATGACATAATGAGAATCATTTCCACAAGACACGTATTTTAAAACGTCTCATTGCCTTTCCATCATACGATATTTTTCAGTCCCAAG